AGCGGAGCGGGACCCCCGCGGGCTGGGGATGGAACCCCCGTCCGGGAGCGACGGACCCGCACCCCCTTGGAGGGCTCCGGCTGCCCCCGCTCCGGGCCTGAGCTGGAGCCCCGGGCAGCGGCGGGGACGGGCTGGAGCCCTGCGCGGGTCAGCGAGCACATCCCGGCTGTGGCGAGCACGGGGTGCCGCGTCCAGGGTGGTGACACGCACGTGGCCCCGCCAGATCTCCTGCGCACGGGGGGCTCTCTCTGCCTGTGGGACCCCGGGACCCCGCGCCACGGAGGGAGCCCCTGCACGAACCCGCACAGTTCACCCCGTGGTCACACCGCTCCATCCCCTCCCGGCCTCCGCTCCGCGTTTAACACTCTTCCCCCTTAAGTTCCCTGTTTGCTTCACTGCTTTTCACGCTAAGTTCAATATTTTCCTTCCCGCTCCCCCCCTCCCACGTCCCCGCTGCCTCTTGCCTGCCCCCGGCCCTCTGGTCCCCCCGGGGCTCGGCTTCTCCGAGGCCACGGCTCGCTGCAGCGCCAAATCAAAAGGGATCAAAAGCCGGCAGTGAAGTGTGCGGGACCCCGTGCCAGGGAGCGGAGGGAGAGGGTCACGGAAGGACGGCAAGACGGTGCTGGGAATGCGGTTTCTCTCCAGGACCAATCGTTCCTGGAGGGGAAAAGACATTTACTCCTCTCTCCAAATAAATACAGCTTTGCCGTGCTGGTGGGCGTCGGGAAGTGGGGATTCTCCTCAGCTCACACTCCAGGCTGTTCCACTCCAGCTCTTGGTTGGCACCACAAGCAGCTCGGTGCCCAGCCCAGACACCCACTGCCTCCAGCCAGGCAGGGACAAGGACTGTGACCCCAAGGGCTCTTCTGTGGGGGTCAGACCCTCCACAGACCCCCCCTCCCTGCCCCAGGGGGTCAGGTGTAGGACCTCAGAGCCCTGGAGACCGGTGTCATCCTGTCAATAAAAAAAGACCATCAGGTGTCCCACATTTTTCCATCTTCGTGGGTTTTATTTTCCCTTTTTTCCACTGAGCAGAATTTTCCCTGCAGAAATCCCCCTCCCGCGCTCAGGGCTGCAGGATGCTGGTCCCAGATCTGCAGGATGCTGGTCCCAGATCCTGCAGCTGAAGCTGGAAGAGCAACAGGAAACCACTTGTGTCCAGTATCCGCTCCGGGATCCTGCGAGCACGGGCACAGCATGGAACCCTCCCAAATCCCAAAACAGCGAGAGGTGCCCCCTGCTTTCAGCAAGAGTGGGCTTCCCTCCTTCTTCAGAACCTCAACCTCCATTAAAATTCCCTGCAAGAACAGTGAGGACCTTGTCCAAACTGGGACGTGTGGAATACCTGGCCCCAGCCTCGCTACGAGGAGAGGAGCTCAAGCAACACTTCCCACATGCTTCGAGCCTGATGGAGTTTGGGTTCTTTCAACTGCTTCCAAGCCCCTCTCTGTGCTTTCCCAGCCCCGACCCCTCCTGATGCCTCTGGCCCGGGAGACAAAGCCTCCCGTTTGAAACCCCATCACCACAGACGTGCCGGTGCCAGATGCCAAATCCCCGTGTCCCTCGCTCCCACTCAAAGGTAAAAAGCCTCCTTAAGTACTGCAGGCCCAGGGAAAGACAACAAGCATGAGACTCTCTTAATTCCTTTCACTGGGATCCAATAAAAACCTTGGCAGTGGCCGTCCTTCCTGCCGGAAAGCCGATATCCCAGAAATAAACACACTTTCCACTTTGAAGGGCTGCGGCGGGATCCGCCTGGGCCCGGATCCGAACTGCTCCCGGCCACCCCAGACTCCCACCTGCCCACAGCCCCCGGGAGCAGCAGAGAACTGACCCACGGCTCCTGATCTCTGCTGCTCCACCACCGGCACTTCCCCGAGGATGAGGATGGCCACGGGTGGCCAGTGCAGCCCCCAGCAGCCAGGGAAGGAGAGGCAGCAGCAAATCCCTCTGTCCAGCATCATCCACGGGTTTGTTTTCCCTCTTAGAGGGACCAAACCCCAGCGTGGAAACAAGGGTCACCTCAGGGGAGTGCTGGGGATCCCGGGGCCATGCCTTTGCTCCAGAGGGGAGCCACCGGCCGCTGGAAGTCATGGAGGAGGAGGAGTCCCCCCCGTCTGCTGGACGTGTCCCTCCAAGGCAAATATTGACAGTGACAGCGCCGAGCACGGGGAGCCCGAGCGCTGCTGCTGCCCCAGCCCTGCCGGGGGCTTTGCTGGATGTAAATAGAGCCGGGCCGTGGGGGCCGAGGCTCTGAGCGGTTCATTAAGAGGCCGGGGAGCCTTTCATCTCCAGCCCGCTGGCTCCACTCCAGTGACCAACAGCTCCCATCTGCGGGGTGACCTCCGTGCAGGGAGTGGGTGGTCTGTGCCCGCTCCCCTGGGCAGGGGTTTGGTGTCACCGACCCCGCGGCTCCACACCCTCCTGCCTCGGGCTCCGGGTGGGCTCCTCGAGGAGGAACGGGAGCTGCTCCGGCTCCGGGGAGGCTCGGACACGTGGGGAGCAGGGCAAAGCTCTCAGGCACGGGGAAAAAAGTCAGTTGGAAGCTTCACGGGTGAGAGAAGCAGCTGCAGGGGAAGGAGCAGATGCTCTTGTTGCTGTCCCTCCTCTCCAGTGCCTTGTCAGCCCAGCACTGGCTGTTCCAGCCCAGCACCCAGCCTGCTCCCCACAGGAGCAGGGGCCAGACCAGCCCGAGTGCAGGGGAGAGGGACCACCAGAGGCCCTGCTGTGCCACAGCCTCGTGCAGGAGGCCACCAGCAGAGCTGAAGGTTTCAGCAGGCAGGGTGCAGGCTGAGCAGCAATCCAGAGGAACACACGCTTTCCTGAGCCAGTCTGCTCCCAAAATACCACGGTGATGAGCCAGAGTTCCACGGCAAAGACATCAGGACAAGGCTTGTTCTGCCCCACAGCCACCCCAGCGCACTCGCCTCCCAGTTTAAACCATTCACCACTTCTTTAAGCTTGGCTAAAGCCCAGTCCCAGCTCAGGAAATGAGATACACAAAACGCCCGAGAGAGGAAAAGGCAGAGGGGAGGTGAGCCACACCAGAAGAGAATTCCCAGTGTAAGCCCACCCCTGCCCTGTGCCCAAACAAACTGTGGCAGTGCAGCCCGTGTTGGAGCCACAGCCAGTGGGGAAGAGCCACCAGTGAGGGGTGAACAAACCCCCTCAGCCTCCAAGCACCGGGGCCAGGGCTGGGCTGGCTCTGCAGCCCCTGCACGTTGGACTCGGGTTCAGACAGAGCAGGTGTAAAATACCCCAGAGGCTTTTCCCGTGCGGAAATTTGCCAACGCGAGGGTCCCGGTGAGGGCGCGGTGCTGAAATTCCGGGAGGAGAGAGGAGGAGGAAGAGGAAGGACCTCGCTCCGGCCATCAGGTGGGAACAAGGTGATTTTGGGACCCGTCGATGACCTGTCCCGGCCCCGTGACCGCGACAGCACCGCCACCCAGAGGCTGCTCCGGGGACAGCTCGAGGCACCGACCAGCTCGGGTTTGACCCTTCAGATCAAAAATCACTTTCTTTGCCAGCTCTGTCTCAGCTGCCTTTCAACCACCCTCCTCCCAGCTCCTAGAGCAGCTCCAGGCTGGGGAAACAGCTCCAAGACCGGCTCAGGCCATTTATTCACCACGCTGGAACATAAAAATAACATCTTTAATAGCTTTGGAGTTGGCACAGATGGTATTAAAACTCATCACTTTTTATTACTGGACTATGAAACCACACATGGAGCAGCGCAGGGAGGGCGGCTCCCACCCCACGGTGCTTCTAAACCACAGAGCTACAACAGGGTGGTGTTGGAGGTGACTCTTCATTTACATTCAGCGTTTAGAGAGTGAAACCAACAGCGAGATTTAACCACACGCACACAGAGCAAAGCCTGGGGAGGATGTTTCTGCTGGCAGCCGAGGCCTCCTCCTCTTAGCAGCCACAAAAGCCCAAAAATCAGCTGCAACACAGGTTGTGAGACTGGCCAAACAGCACAGGACAACAGGAGCTTCTGCTCACACCTGAAGGAAAGTTACTGCAGTGACAGTCCCATTTCCCTCTTCCAGGAGCAGGGAAGGCTGGACCAGCACTTAGGATGTTAAGACACAGCTCTCTCAGTGGCCAAAGGGTTTTTTTTTTTCAGGAACCCAGAATGCAGTGGGACAATAATACTTCCCTTTCTGAAGTACTTTTCCCAAGAAACCTCCCTGCTGCCCTGAGCCAAGCATGTTATCCTCTCACAGGTGTAGAGGAGGTGGGACTCACCTTGGAAAGCAACAGCAAGCTGGTGGCAGGGCAGGGGCACGGCAGAAAAAGTCCCCTTCTGACCAAAAAAACAGTGTCAAAACCACTAGGCAGGATGAAAATAATTCCCAACAACAGAGGAGGGGCAAGGAAGGGAAGGGGGAAAGCATTCCAGATCTGGGCAGACATGGAGCCATGGGAAAAGTGAGTGTCAGCCTGAAAATACCAGAATTGAGCCCAAAAGACACTCCCACACTTGTGATGTGCAGCCAAAACATCACACCATGAACTCCCGGTGGCAGCTGAGCTCCTCACAGCCCCCCGGGGCCTGTCACTCGCCCCCTTTCCATGGCCATGGTCTCTCCAGTGTCACAGCATGGCCCTATCCCAGCTCCCACATAACCATCCCATGTCCAAAACTCCTATTTGGGGAAACACTGAAGGGTTTCTGGCAAGATCACAGCTTGTTTAATGAAGAATTTAGTCCTCAGTGAAAACAATCACTGGAACTGCTGCAGGTCACACCCACCTCACTGGGCAGCAGCTCCAGCCTGACAAACACTTGTTTGCCCAACCCAGTCACCCCAAGGTCTCTGTCCTGGATGACCCTGAGGAGCCAAGACACCACAGCCACTTTCAGCCACCAACTTCCTTATCATCTGTTGGTTATAAAGATTTCCAGTTTCTAGGGGTGCTCTATAATCACGATGGTTATGAGGCATTTCTGGCCTCTGCTCCGAGGAATTCCCCCTCACCACCAGGATCAGGTGCCGACATGGAGGGAGGTAAAATGCATAGTGAGGTCTCCCAGCAGCGAGGTCTCTCCTCTGGAGGGGTTTTGTTTTCCACCTACTGCCCCTGCACTGTCACAGCCTCCTTTTGGCCTTTACTCCCAGCGGGGGCCTTGCCCCCGACGGCTTTGTTGGAATAATCCCGCTCTCCAAAGATGGTGCTCCCAATCCTGACGTTCGTGGATCCAACCTCTATCTGGAAGAGACAGAGAGGAGGAGGTCAGGGCAGGGGTGGAATTTGGGGTGCAGGTCCCCTTGTTCCCCACGGGAAGGGCGGCAGGAGGAACACACTCACTGCGTGCTGGAAGTCCGTGGACATGCCCATGCTCAGCTCCACCTTCTCCACGGGGAGATTCAGCTTCTCACACACCTCCTGCCGCAGGGACAGCAGCATCTGCAGGGAGAGGGGAAGAGGAGAGGCTCACACACCTGACAGCCACGCCAGCTCCCTTCCAGGGTGCCACAGAACACGACTCCTGCCTGTCTCTGAAGTCTCCTTCACACAGGAAACGCAATTCCCACATTTCCCACTGAAGTGGTGTAAGAACGCCTGGAGACTTCCCAGATTTACTGACAACACAGAGGAGGCTGACTGAAACCTCACCTGGGCCAGAGGCTCCAGGACAGCACAGGGAGCCCTGCCAACATCCTGGCTGCAGCTTCAGAGGAGGGAGGGAGAAATACTCTGCAGAGAGGAGCCTCCCACCTGCACTGACACTGGTACTGAGGGCTCTGCACTGCTCTGAGCGTGGTGTTTCTACAGTCTTATAACCTGACTCAGACTGGTTTCACTGGGACAGACAAACTGTAACAGGAGACCAGCCCACAGTGACATTTTCTCCTAGAAAATCTTACCTGGAAGTCAGGATTTGGGCCCTTGCTGAGGTCGTGCCCGATGCTGCCGATCGTCATCAGCCCCACGAATTCCAGGCTGGGGCACTTGTTGATCACGTGCTCCACGGCAGCCGTGGTGTCTCCAGGGGGAAGGCCATGCTTACCTGGGAAAAACCAGGGAGATCTGTGCCCAGCCCTGCCAGAGAAACACTCTGAGAGCACAAACCAGCCCATCCCCCTCGGGTTCTCTGAACAGGAGTCAGAAAGGGCTGCACATCATCAGAAAGGGCCACTCACTGTCCTCCCCACTCGTGTTAACTTGCACCATGACCTTCAGCTTCTGGGATGTCCCTTTTTTCTGCCACGAGCTGTTGACTCTGTCTGCCAGCTTCACAGAATCCACTGTTTCCAACATGAACAGGTTTGGGACAGCTGGGGAGGAAACAAAGGCTGAGGCAACTCTGCTGCCACAGGAGTGTTTGTACCCAGAACAGGTGTCAGGGAGTTCCCCCTCTTTGGGGAGAACCTTTTCCCAGTATCCAGCCTAAACCTCCCCTGACACATCTGAACACAGAGAGACCACAGCCCACACAGAATCAACCAGGATTTACCAATCAGCTTGTTGACATTGTTTTTCTGCAGGTGGCCAATAAAGTGCCACTTGATGTCTGGACAAGATGACAGAATCTGAAAGCAGAGAGAACAGTGAGGTTGGAAGGACAATTCCCTCTTCCCCCACGCAGCACTTCGGGCTTAGCTTGCCTACAGACAAACACCAGACACCCAATTTCTTCATTTGTTGACTCAACCCGTGGTTGTGCTGAGGTTGCTGCACAGCCTGGAGAGGGAAGGGGCTGTGGCTGCAGGGAATGCTGTCCGTGGGAATGAGGAAGGCAAAGCTCTTTTGCAACAGTCATAAAATTATATTTTCCCCAAACTGAGTGTTAACATCTCTTTTAAATGAGGACTGTGCCTCTCCTACAGAAAGCACAAAAGGCACAGCACTGTTCAGACAAATCATGACTAAGGCACACGTATTCTCAGACTCCTCTGGAGTCAGCAAGGCAGGAGGGGGAACGGGGCAGAGAGCTAAGAATAACCCACCATTTATCTGCAAAGGCAAGGATCCAGTGAAATTCCTAACAAAAACCAGGACTTTGGCTGAACAGCTCTCAGGACACAGCTATACAAGGAAGAAAATATGAAGGGGACTGAGTACTTACTCTTGAGTCTGATGCCTTTTCCAGCAACTCCTGAACCTGGGAGAATGCAGGAGAATCCCATTAAACCCATGGCACACGTAAGATCAGTGTCTGTGGGGTGTGTGTCCCTGGGACCAACAGGAGCCCCAAGAACACGAGGCCAGGGGGTGATGCTGTCACCAAGCCTGGCCCCCCACCCACAGAGCCACCCAAACTGGGCTGCCCTGAGACATCAGGAGGAATTTCTTCATGGAAAGGGTTGTTAAACATTGGAAGGGGCTGCCCAGGGAGCTGGTGGAGGTGTCCAAGGAAGGACTGGACGTGGCACTCAGTGCTCTGGGCTGGGGGACAAGGTGGGGATGGGGCACAGGGTGGACTCGATGCTCTGGGAGAGCTTTTCCAACCCCAATGATTCCGGGATTCTGTGCCCTCAACACGAGGGCCTTTCCCAGCCCCGTGGTCCCTCTCCCAGCCCCGTGGTCCCTCTCCCAGCCCCTTGGTGCCCCCCAAACTCACGTAGTTCTCCCCGAAGCTGCGCTGCCCGTGCCCGTACGCCTCCATCACCATCTCCGCCGGCTTCGTCTTGCTGACGGCCACGAGCCGCGGCTGCACGGCCGGGAGCCCCTGCGGGACCACCGGGGCTCAGGGGGGGACACCGGGGCACCCCCCAGCCCTCCCCAGCTCAGGGCACCCCACACAGCCCTAGGAGAGGTCGGGGGTGGCGGGGGGTTTGTCCCTATGCCTGTGTGTGAGGGGGTGGATCAAGCAGGAGGGAGGCCTGCCATGATAGTGGGGTGCTGTCTTCTTTGCTGGGGAGCTCAGGTGCCCATCTCCGTGGTGGGACCTGTCCCTGTGACAGTGGGGGAATGTTCTTAAGGTGGGACCACTCCCGGTGGCACTGGGAAATGTCCCTGCGGTGACACGGGCCCTGCCCTCACGGTGGCACCTGTCCCTATGGCACTGCGGGAATGTCCCCACGGCGACCAGGGCCCTGTCCCGATGGTACCGGGGAACGTCCCTGCGGTGACACGGGCCCTGTCCCCACGCCAGGACCCCTCCCGGTGGCGGTCCGGCTCCGTCCCCACGGCGATGACCCGTGACCTGTCCCCACGGCGCGGGCCCGTCCCTACGGTGACGGAGGCCGTGCCGCCGCGGCAGCGGCCCCTCCGCGGTGTCCCCCGGTCCCCCCCGTGTCCCCGGTGTCCCCTCACCTGCGGCCGCCGCGCCGCCGCCTGCTGCAGCTGCTCGGTGACGGCGCGGAGCGCCGGGCCCAGCCCGTCCCCGGCGGCCATGCCCGCTCTCCACATCCCCGCCCGCCCCGCGCCCACTTCCGCCACACCTTCGCCCCGCCCCCGCACCGCGGCCAATGGGAGCGCCCCGCCGCGCAACGCCGGCCAATGGGAGCGCCGCACCGCGCAACGCCGGCCAATGGGAGCGCTCCGCCGCGCCATGTTGGGAAGGTCGCGGTCGCCATGGCGGCCCCCGCGGGTCGGGGGGGACACCGGGGATGGGGCGGTCGAGCCTCCCCCCGCTCCCCTTTCACTGGGTTTGGCAAAAATCGGTGACAAATCCAAGCCATACCCGCGCCGTGGGGGCGGCAGCGAGCGCTGCCACCCACCCCACCTGTCCCTGCCCGGGCCTCACGCCACTACGAGGGGCTGCGAGTTGGGAGGGACCCCCAGGGGTCGTGGATCCAACCCCTGGCCCTGCACAGACACCCAGCAATCCCACTCTGTCCCTCAGAGCGTTGTCCAAATGCTCCCTGAGCTCTGGCAGCCTTGGGGCCATGACCAAACCCTGGGTTCCAGTGCCCGACCACCCTCTGTGCCCACCCCAAAGAACTGGGTTCTTCCCCCTGCATGAAGAGCTGTGACGCCAGGGAGTGAATTTCAATTATTTCAGAGGGGTAAAAAGCCTCAAAAACAAGGGCAGGTGACAGGGCTTATCCTGCAGGCCTAGTTTAGGGGTGGGGAGTGTTGGGGAGCACTTGGAGCAGGGCCACGGAGCCCCAGAGCAGCTGGAGTGGCTGCAGTGCTGGGACAATGCCCGGCTTTACCCGCAGCAACTGGGGTTGAGAGGGAAGGAATGGGAGCCTGCCAGCTGGAAACCATTAACTCAAATATTTGTCTTAATGTGCAGAACTCCACTGTCCCTCCGCAGATTCCGTGTTTACACAGCTGGGCAAAAACACCCAGAAGGTTCCTGCCCTTTGTCCGGTAAAACATGACAAGGATTTTCTGCAAACTTTACCGAATCCGAGGCGTTTGCTGCTCCGGCCTTGTTCCATTAGCAAAGCAGGGGCTGACAGACACTTGTGGGATTCCTTGGACACGGACACCTCTGCCCCTTCTTCCACTTTCCTCCTCCTCCTCCCTGGAGAGGGAGAACCAGCGTGGACCCCCAGCACCCCCCAGCTCCCCACTCCCACTGGGGCACCCACAGCCTCAATGTTCCCTCTGGAAAATCTCCCCTTGCAAATACACCTGCACATCACGTTAAAGCTCCTCCACAAACCCTGATGTGAAAGTTGAAGATAGTAAAATCGAAGGCCATTTTATTGTCATAGCAAATACCAAAATAAAAAGGCTTTGAATTCAGTACATAAGAAGATCAAAGAGCATTCCCATGCTCCCCGGAGCCATTCCCAGGTAGCAGCAGTGCCACAAACCTCTGTTTCCTTTGTGAGAGAGTGGGTTTAAAATTCAGATCTTCACCTCAAGATCACTGAAACAGGACAAAATGCCCCTTTAAAGAGACAGAGGGAATAAAGGTTTACATGGATTGACAGATCCACTCTGGAAAATTCAGGACATTTTACAAAGAGTGAAGAAACCTGAATGAAGATGCAACAACGGATTTTGGCTTGTCAAGACTGATACACTCAACTTTGCTTTTGATATTTTACTCTTAGCACAATTTAACTAAATTACATTAATACTTTAGCAGTCATGGTTTTAATTAAAAGAATCATTAAGAGCTCTTTATCCCAAACTATTGTCTTGCTGTGAAGTCATATGTTAAAAAATGACTTTATAATACCACTTTGGCTTAGTTGGGTTCCTTTCATTAGTGAAAAATACTTGTGTAAAAGGAGGTTTTAGTTGCTGATGGAAACCTCAAGCATGAACATAGAACAATCCCAAACAAACTCATCCTCAAGGGATCAGGTACTACCTTCCCATTGCTAAGTTTCTGCTATTCCCTGTTTATAATCTCCCTGCACAGACCTAGTTATGAGTGAGGAATACTGCAGCCCCCCTGAGGATGGAATTGTTTGAGTGCTGTGGGTCTGATGTAGGTCTGGAGATGGGACTTCCCTTAGGTCCTATTTTCCAAGAAACACAAAGAAGACGGGACTCTTCTCCAGCAGAAACGCTCAGCTTCTACTTTGCATTTTCAAGTATCAAGAGTCACTCTCCCAACAGGGAAGAGAGAACTGCTGTAAAAGCCCTGGAGCCAGCAGCTGAGATCCATCAGAACTCTTGTTACACAGACTGCTGCAGATTTAAACACTGAAGGGTGAGGCCGGGGGTGGTGGGGAGCAGGAATTTGGGGCACGAGCCTGTGAACGCAACAGGCTGGTCTCTGACGAGCACTGGCATCATCTCAGATGAGGATATTGGCCTCAAATCGTATCAGCAACTAACCACCAGGCTCTGCTGCCAAGTGCAGATGGATTAGGGAGAGAAAAAAAAAATGTTCTCTCTAGGCCTGAACTTCAAATTTTGCACGTGGAAAACAAAACTCTGTTCCCTCCTTGCATCTGGGATGTGAGGAATTCCTCAGTTCTCTGAACTGGAAGGTGCATTCTAGCACTGTTCTGAGAGAAAGAGGGGAATTCAACTTTGGGCAGTTCAGACAAGAGCTGCTTCTCTCTGCCCTGGGACCTTTCAGGATGACGGTTTGTGACCTTGGCTACTATGAAATCTTCCTTCCACAAGGTCTATTCAGACCCAAACCCACAGGAGCTCAGTTCTGCTCATCTCAGCTCACCCGAATGCCCTGAAAACACCGAGATCCAGTTGCTCTTGCAGAGCAGATAATGAGCTGTTAACGACCGTCTGGTCACTTCAGCAGCTCCTCCCCTGCAAGGCCTTTTGCAAAGTCAGGGTCCCTGAGACAAAAATTCTCTCCTCTCTGGTTTTCCTGACTGTGACTGTGACAATTTCCAGGCCTGCAGCCCGGTTTCACCGAAAATCACATCCAGCTCTGCCCTCCAGGACACTGCCCCTGTGCCCACACCCTCACCCAGCAGCCCGACTGCTACAAAAAACACAACAAATGGAGAACAAAGCAGCGTTAGGATGCAGAAAACGAGGACTTTGGGTCACTGCCTGCGTGACGTGCGGTCTAAGGCTTCGATCCCCCCCCAAAAAAGACTGGGAACCTGCAGGATTCCAGCTGAGCTTCTGTCCCTCGTGGTGCACGGGGGCTCAGCAGAACCTGCCACTGCCCGGGCCTCAAGCAGCCACGTGTAGTGTAGAGATCTAGCACCTTGTTTGGAAAGGGGGTTGAAACAGAGTAATTGGAATTTCCAATAAGAAAAAAAACAAACAAGTTGTAGCAGTGATTCCCCTCCCTCCTAAACCTCAGCACTGCTTTACCTCCAAGTGCTACGAACCACTTCAATCTCAAATTAAGTTCCCATCCAGCCTCTCCAGACTCCTGGGTGTGTGTGACCAAGAGCAGGGGAGGTGCAGCTACAGGACACACCTAGAGTTGGCTGCTTAGAAGTTACCCGAAAACCTACCCCATAATTACCAAAGTCCTTGTGTCTAATTGTCATACAAAAGATTGAAAGGATTAAGTCTGATTCATCTCTTTCAGCACGGGAAAGGGGGAAAACAAAAAGGAACTTCCCAGTTCATGGGGTTTTGTCGATACAAAACGAATAGAAATCTTTCTTCTCAGTTGACACCATGAAGCAGTTTTGTGTCCTCGCTGATTCCTGCCCCATCCTCGTCTGGGATTCCTTCTGCCAGTCCCTCTGCAGATTTGGTCTGGCTCCCTGCAGAGTCCATGAACATATTGGGAATATCTTTGCCAAAATAGATCTTGCTGTTGGCTGCGATCGCCTTGTACTTCATCAGCTGCAAGTACTCGGGAGTCAACTTGAGCTGCACGGAGAGAAAACGGGTCACAACAGCCCGGATTCGGGCAAAAGCAAACTCCTGCCAGGAGCACACGAGGCACCTCCTTTCCACAGCCCTATCAGGAGTGCCCAGCCCCTCCACAGGGAAAACAGAGTGCCCTGGGAAGGCTCCCGAAGCTCTAAATCCCAGTGACTAAATGGCAAATTGAAAAGTGAAGTGATGGGAGCAGCTGGGGAAATGTTCAACCCAGGCGTGATGGAGATGCCCGAGAGCACATCCCTCACTGCAACCCTTGCAACGTGAGCTACTGGGAAGGAAAATATCCCTGGCTGTTTCCCAGGAAGAGTGTTTGGGTGAGCAGAGCTCACTTTTTTTCAGGATAACCACATTATAACACAGAGGAGGGAACAACTGGGGCAAAACTTGTGCACAAACACCCCAGCCCTGTGTCCTCCTCGCTGACCCTCACAGAACAGAAGTGCTTCCTGCTGGCACGTCCTGGGAACTTGCTGTAGGCAGGAACACACCTGGCAGTTGTATCCATGTAATTTTCCTGTTTCCAGGTTGGGTTTTTTGTTTTGGTTCTTTTTTCTTTTGCAGTACCAAGGCTCTGCCAGGGTGCCTGAGATCAGCTCCGTTTGTTCTTTCCCTGGACTGTGATTTACTCTGCCCCTGCCTTGTCACCCCGGAGATCCCAGCTTGAGACTGGAATAATCCACATTTCTCATCACAACTGAAACTGATATTCCATCCACAGAGAGAGCCAGGCCCCCTTAGCATCTGGCAGAGCAGAGATTTCACACATCCTGACTTATTTATCTGTCCAGAGAAGAAAATGAACTTGCAAATAAGGATCTAAATGCTTCAGTTAGATGGAAACTTTGCTGAGAGGAGATGATTTTGTTTTGTTTTTTGACTTAGACACTGACTGCTCTAGTGCTGAGTATTCCCCTGCAGCCTGATGCTGAGCCCTGCTCCAAGGCACCACAGAGGAAACCACAATACCTTGTTGGCTTCAGCCACCTTCATGGCAGTGTAGCACTCAGCATCAGCCCTCGCCTTCTCCCGTGCAAGGAATGCAGCATCTGGAAGCAAACACATGCTCTGAGTCAGATTTTTTTATTTCCAGCCACGTTAGCACCGTTTGCAGCTGGAAACCTTTAAGATAAAGTGGCCAGTGCCACATCTAAACTGCACGGGATACAACGAGGGGAAGAGG